GCCAAGGTGATTTCATAGTGGCTTCAGGTGTTGGGAGGTGCTGGGACAAGCGCGGCTCTGGGGGAATCCGGGCTGGTCTCTGTGCACTGGCAGTCAGCACCGCGCTGTCTTTGCTGTGCCGGTGTGTTGGGGGCATCGTGTGCGTGTGTTTTTAATAGAAAAACTGAGATTTAAAGGCTCACGCATAAGGAAACCCTTTTTTTCTTCCACAGAGGGCTGTCCGCTTTATCTAATAGCCACTAAGCCAAGCAGTACCTGTCCTCAGTTAATTCTTTGTTACAGAAGCTTTCGGGCTGACAAAATAATCCAGACGTTGGCGGCACTGGCTCCCGAACGCTGGGCTGTCGGAAGGAGCAGGCGAGGAGAAACACAAGGTATTTCTTGTACTTACCGCTTCGTTTTTTGCTAAGCTGCTTTCCACCCCAGGTCAGGGGGCACTGAAGGGCGGCTGCTCCACCTGCTGTCGGGAGCTTGAGGCTTTATGCTGCTTTGGGGGCTGTTGGTGAGTTAAAAAAAAGAAAAGAAAGAAAGAAAAAAAAAAATTAGGTTAGGGGGTTTCTGAATTTCTGAGTGGAAGCCAGGCGTGTTCCAGGGGAGGTGTGAATTCTGGAAAAGGAGGTTTTTCCTCCCCTCCTCTGTCCTGGGAGCTGCCTGCCTGCCTAACGCAGCGGGTGTGGGTGGTGCCTTCGCACCCAGCAGGTGCAGCCGCAAGCTCTTGTGATCTGTGATCCCAAGGCGTCGTTGCTAACATCGTTTTCTGAGAGAGTTCGTTTGAGAAGCTTGGCATAACAACACACCGTCGCCATGCGAGGTGAAAACCTTGTCATTCTGTTGACGCTGAAACTGCAGCGCGTGCTTTACAAAGGCGGCGTGACTCGTTAGCTGTGTCAGCACAGCGCTGATGAGCGTTGGCAGTCCTGGAGTCGTCGTCTCTGGAGAGGGAGCCTGCTCGTCAGCCGCAGTGACAGGCTGCCTGCTGCGGAAGCCCTGACAACGTACACCGAGATTTCAGGCTCTGGACTTGTTCAGACCTGGCTCGTCTGCTGGGTTCACCAGGGAGTGAGTCAATCAGTGTCATCTGAGCAGGGTTTTCTTCTGATGAACATCGCTTCCCGTGGATACCCAGCTGAGAACCAGACCTGCTGCAGATGGCCCGACCACCATGACCTCTTTGTTCACTCCTGCTTGAACTGCAAACTTGGAAAAAGGCTTTAAACTCCCTTACCAAGTACAGAGTCATTCAGTCTCCCACTTCCCTTTCAATAAAAGCACCGTTTATGCAGTCCACTGCGCAGAAATGGTGATAGTGATTAATACTGTCAGCCCTCAAGGGAGACTTTAGCCTCAGGAATCTTCTGTATTAAAATTAATTTGCCGCTCCAACAAGCAGGTATCCAATTACTTACCTTGTCCATCACGGGTGCGGGTGTCAGCGTGGCTGGAAGCGTTCTGTGTTAGTTCGTTACCCTGATACACGCTGCAGTGTCTCGTCAGTGCTCGGGGCTCTCTGGCAGCCCTTACCTGGGTGACCTGCAAGAGAACCTTCTCGAGGTGCCGTTGATTTGACTTTGCAAGTCAGTTCGGTGCAAGTGGTAAGCGAAATCCTCCGAGGTGCTGGCTGTGCTGCTGCAAGAACGAGCAGCAGTAGAGGGACCTGTTCACGTTTTATGTATTTTTATAAATAGATTTAACATTGTTAATTTTGTAAAATGATTTTAGGAAAACCAGTTTCACTGCCGCTGCATGTAACCTGAAGGGAAACGCTTTTACATTTCGGATTGAGTCAATTTTTGTGACCTAGGCAACTCACATCTTGCATTTTTCTCTGGTGTGAAACAACCTCTCTTCCTCTTTTGTTACACCCTATGGACAATAGAGAACCTCGCAGTGAATTTCTCCATAGGGTTTCCCTTTAGAGACGTGCGTATCAATCAGCAATCGAAACTTCCACTGACTCCTGGTACAGAGCAAACAACCAACTGTAGAGGCTGCGACCCACCCTGGCGAGATGGTGACGGTGGCTCAGGAAACCGAGCAGGGATGAATCCAACCGTCTAGATTCAAGGGCAGTACGAAAAAAACCCATGTGAACGTTGGAGATCTTTAAGTTCGTTTCTGGTTGATAAAAAGCCACCAGCTCAAGCCCATATTCATTTCTCATGGTTAAAAACCAAAGACTTGATCCTTTGGTTGGACTCAGGTGGATCTTTCTGCAAGATCAAGTGTTTTGTGTCTGTCACTGTGTAGGTGTTTCAAATGAAGTCTCTAAATCCTGAGGCTGTACCAGTTCTGTGTGGCCAGTGCAATTCTTACACGGTTTTTAAGCTACTGGTTGCTGCAGTTAAATTTTCTGTTCCTCTACCTGTTCTTTCTGAAGCTACTGGTTGCTGCAGTTAAATTTTCTCTTCTCTGCTGTTCCTCTACCCCATTGTGCGTGAGGTGCTGCCGCTGTCATCTCCACCCGTTGCCTCTGGGGAGTTAAGGTGATGCCTGTACAGAGGCTGGCATGCGCTTTGGGATGCAAGGTGCTGTTCTGCACGGTATATGCTTATCTAGGAAAATCTCTCGGTTTACTCCCATCCACAGGTACTGAGCCCAGGAGCACCTTTCCCTTGAGGTCTGTCCGTGCCGTCGCCTGCCGATGCACCCGCTCTAACAGCGGCCGGAGGGACCCCCACCAGCTGCCGTCCGCAGGGCCCTTGGCGGGGAGCGTTCCCCAGGAAGCACGATGAAGATCGTGGTCGCCAAAGTGCTGTGTCTGCTGGGCATCTGCGTCCTCATGCTGGCTGGGTCCCTTCTCCCCGTCAAGATAATTGAGGCTGATTATGAGAAAGCTCATCGCTCCAGGAAGGTTCTTGCCCTCTGCAATTCTTTTGGAGGAGGAGTCTTCCTGGCCACCTGCTTCAACGCCTTGCTGCCTGCCGTGAGAGAAAAGGTAACTGC